TCCCATGTCATCTTTTGTCATCGGTGTACTCTTTCTCTTAAAGAAGTCTTCAAAGATTCTCCGGGCTCAGTATTTTATTGACAGTCTGGGCACTCCTAACTCCCCTGTTCAATTATTAGTTGAGGCCTTTATTCAGACTTTGTTTAATAAATGATGAACTTCCCCAAATCGCCTTTAGCTTTTTTACACCTTCAAAGGTTCTTCTTAGACGTATATTCTTCTACATTTCTTTCTGCGTTGTGTGATTGACAGCAGGACGCTGGGATTAAACGTAGCCTAAGGACAGACACATGTGCCCCGTGCACTAAGGCTAACTATAACTAAAGTGACAGGCGCGTTCAAGTCCACTGTCTGCTCCCAGCGTGCGGACATGATCAGGCCACGAGAGATCTGGGTTTTCCAGGAAACAATGAGGGTCATGAAGTCACATCTGCTCCCAGGACTAATAATAATAACCTAATTAACCTGATTCAAATGTGCTGGGTCTTGGTTCTTTGGTGAGGTTCTGGACAAATAAAGCAATCAGCTCTCATCATATTTAAAAAAATGAGATAATGGTGCATAATAATTATTATTATATGTAATTAATGTGATAATGTTACTGCAATTTTGTGTTAGTTCTTCTTTTTCTTTGGACTGGGGTTAATGACCTGAAACCACGTATTTTAGAATTATGTGAAAATGCTAAATTATTCAATAAGTGATTCTTTAAACACATCGAATATAATTTCATAAAATGCCTTTTGTAATACTGTACCATATGCACTGTATTGCAATTAATATTAACCAATATTTCCAATCCAGTCCAGCTTTATTTGTATAGCACATTTTATAAACAAAGTGCTTTACATAGCAAAGTAAAATATTTTAATAAAAAAATAAAAATAAAAATCTGCAGAATTATGTTCCAACCATGAAGAAACTAATAACTAGTAGAATCAATAAATAAATTATAATAACAATAAAATCAATGGACAAAAATAATAAAATCAATACATAAAAGCAGTACTAAAAAAATAGAATAGGTAAAAACAATAAATACATAAGTTAAATAAAATAAATGAAAGACACAGAGAACTACACAACTCACATGGCGTTAAAAGCCAGAGAGTAAAAATGAGTCTTGAGATGAAAGAGACTTAAAACACTCCACTGTGGGGGCTGTTGGGATGGGGGGGGGCAGAGCGTTCCAGAGTTTGGGACCGACCACAGAGAAGGTCCAGTTCCCCCGGGTTTTAAGTCTCGTTTTAGACACCACGAGCTGGAGCTGGTCCTCAGACCTCAGAGCACGTGCGGGGGGTAGTAAATCTGAATGAGGTACGAGGTGCACTGTGGGGGCAGCTTTTATATTTTTGTTTCATTCATAGCGTAATTTTAAAGGCCCTATATCTTTTTTCATGTATCTGAGTAAAATTTGTCTTGCTCCAGCACATATATAGTATAAGCAGCTCTTGAAGTCAAAATAAGTGTTTAAATATCTGGTACAGCACCTTTAATTGTTAGCCAGGCTGGTGCCACCTAGTGCCTGCGCTTAATTTCATTTCTCTCCAGCAACTAGGTCAGGAATCAGAATACACTAGACAGTTTGCAAGAACTCCAGAAGTGCGAGTTCGAGCACCAGCCAATCAGCGAAGAGTCAGACATTCTGTGTTGGCAACGATTCCCACGATCAAGGATTTAAAGCCAGAACAAAGAGAATGTTTGATGAATTTTATGAAGGGGAAAGACGTTATTGCCCTTCTTGCTACGGGATTTGGGAAAAGCTTAATATACCAGTTAACCTCGTTAGCGGCGCATTACATACATCACGACCAAATACCAGCGATTATTGGTTCAGTCAATCAATCAAACTTTATTTTTATAGCACCTTCCAACGACTGAAGCCGACCAAAGTGCTGTACAACATTAAAACAGGATAAAAAAAAACAATAAACATCATACAAATAGGTCAACAAAGCACATTACACCATTAAAATAAAGAAAGTGTCTCAGGGCCACTAAGTGTTAATAGCCATTCTAAATAAGTACGTTTTAAGATTGGTTTTGAACAGAGACAGGTCATGGATGGACCGTAACTCAATCGGCAGAGAGTTCCAGAGTTTTGGACCGGCGACTGCAAAAGAACGGTCACCCCACTGTTTGCACCGGGACCGGGGGAACCTCCAGCAGATGTTGCCCAGCAGATCGTAGAGCTCTGCTGGGTTGGGGTTATTGGTTAAATTTTTTTTTAAAGTACCCACCTACCGTCGAGCGAACGAATTCTAATGCTGCGAGGTCAGACAGTTTCCACGAAGTGAAACTGGCTGATGTATCAGGCTATTTAATTGTTGCACCATTTATTATAGATCGACTGCGAATGTTTGTTTTTTCTGACTTTTTTTTTAAGTAAAAAGTAGCATGAGTAAAGTGAAGTGATAAAACCCATAGCAACCTTTCCTTTCATTGGTTAACCGCACAAAGCAAACATTTCCACTGCATTTCTTATTCTGATCAAATATATGATCTCATTATTTGAAGTTAAGTGTAGTTTCATAACCGGCCAGTAACAGTCCACTCTTTTCAACACCCCTGAGAGTAGAGATAGTGTATTTTTATTTTATTGCTCTTGATGTAAAATGCAGCCTCACATTTCCCAACAGGAATAAAAATAGTTTATTATAAAACCTTATCTTTGGTCTAGTGTTTGTGGACAGTATGTTTAGTCTTGCCTGTTTTCTATCTGAGAAAATGCAGTTAAGGAAATGAAACAACAGCCAAAGTCACTTACACAACACTTTATGAGAATAATAATAAAGAATGCAGTTCTATAATCAGATCAAATAATCACATTTCATACACAGAGGCTGGCTTCACACGAGACATCTTTTATAGCTTTTATTTAATAGAGCTTTGGAATCCAGTTTACAAAAGGAGACGTGTGCAAAATCGACTTTTAACAGTTTGTACCCATTGATTTATAATTTTCCCTTCGCATTTATCCACTCGAAGTTGGCTGCACAATTTTAGAAAAAACTAAGACAACTTTTGTGCAATTGTGATCAGATTGTCGAGATATATTTAAAAATAGGATTAAGTTCAGAGTGCACAATGTAAACAGCTAAAAGAGCATAAACATTTGAGAGGAGACTGAAATCTGAAGTGATAAACTAATCAAAGAATCCCGTGTTTGTGGATATCTAAACCAGTGGTCCCCAACCTTTTTTACGCCACAGATCGCTTTTATATCAGGGGTGGTGTATGGGAGGAGGCGCATGGTTAAGTCCTGGCTAAATCCTGTTTTAGACCCAGTTTTAGACCTGTTTTAGACCCAGTTTTAGACCTGTTTTAGTCCTGTTTTAGACCCAGTTTTAGACCTGTTTTAGACCTGTTTTAGTCCTGTTTTAGTCCTGTTTTAGACCAGTTTTAGTCCTGTTTTAGACCCTGTTTTAGACCTGTTTTAGTCCAGTTTTAGACCTGTTTTAGACCTGTTTTAGTCCTGGTTTAGTTATGGTTTAGTGGCAAGATTTTTCTACAAAAGACAGGATATTATTTTGCAGAGGACTTTCTACAATCTCTAAATAATTCCAACTTTTGAGATTTGATTAATGTATCAACCCTTAAAGTACATTTGACAGGTTTTGATGTTTCTCTAATTCTGACTTAATTTGGTGGGATAATACCTGTAAATGTAAATTATATTTTTAAACCAACCAAAAAGCAATTTGTGAAGAAAAGTTGAAAAATATGTTGACAATTATGGGAAGTACAGTTCTATTTTAGAGACTTCCGTATTGATGATATCACACTGCGGAGAATTCTGTCCAAGAGTTAGACACAATTTGCACAATTTACTCTCAATAAACACACTTTCCCAGCACTTTATACATGATTTTAACAAAATAAAGGTGTTTTTTGGGCTACTGTGCCCACCAGGCTGGCACCACCTAGTGCCTCACTTTCATTTTTCTCCAGCGACTAGGTCAGGATTTGGAATACACTAGACAGTTCGCAAAAACCCCGGCAATGCGAGTTTGGGCACCAGCCAATTAACGAAGGATTTAAAGCCAGAACAAAGAGAATGTTTAGTGAATATTATCAAGAGGAAAGTACGTTACTGCCCTTTTTCCTACAGGATTTGGGAAAAGCTTAATATACCAGTTAGCCCCGTTAGCGGCGCATTACATACGTCACGACCAAATAGCAGGTATTGATTAAATAAAAAAAGTACTCACCTAACATTGAGCGAACGAATCCTAATGCCGATGGTTTCTACGAAGTGAAATTGGCTGATAGCAATAGCAATTTTTCTAACAAGCATTGCAATAAAGATTGGATTTGCGATTGCATTTCTGTTCAAAGGCCACATTTTAAGCATTTCCAGGAGAACTGACAAAACCAAATATGAGCTGACAAACTAATACAATAATCACAATATATATAACATGTTTGAACAGATTTAAACTACAGGTTTAGCAGTTTTTATGCAGTATATACTAAACTATAGTTTGTGGAAGAAATTATTATACTTCAAAAATTGTAACATTTGTGATATACTAAGTCCGTCTTTTCAAATTGCGGTTTTGAAGGTTTTTTTCTGCAGTGTTAAATAAACAACTCTAGCCTTTCGTCCAGCATAAAAATATAATGAAGTTAAAAATGCCCTGCCTAAACCCCTTTGATACTTTATGGAGAGGCTCAAAGTCTTTCTCGCTATTTGATCTAAAAATAAATTAGACAATCTACAGTATAAACACAGCTTTATCCGTGGTTCTTTTCCAAATATAGATTCAAAACAGTGTTGTGTAACCTGAACTCAAAAGACTCGGACTTGGACTAAACTCCTTTGAAGATTTACCTTATCAAACCTATTTCTTTGTATAACCTGTTGTACTTTTCCATTTTGTTTAGTTGTGTTGGGTGGAATTACTGGCATGTCTTTAGATTGTGTATAGGGAATCTAATCCATTACAGCTTATGTATGTTGTATTACCCCAGAATGACCACTGTATTTACCCCTTCAGAATGCAGCGTGGTCCTTCTCTTTGACCTGGTCCAGAACCGAAAAAGTATCGCCCGCCAATCAGACCTCGACAAGGAAAAAAGGTAAAGGACTTTGACTGTCTAGAAAGGAGCGACATACTGGACAATAAAAGTCCTGGATTCTTGTGAGAAATGGGTTCGTACCACCACAGCGATTGGTTTATTTTTGTTTTTAAATCACTGAAATCTGCAACAAAACTGGACAAAATGTTTTTAACGCACAGTATTTAAGTTTCTGGTGTTGTTGCGTGGAAACTGAAGGTTATAGCTACACTTTGGAACATTCTTTAGGTAGAGAGAATAGAAGATAGATAGAACGATATGGAACGATATAGAAAGATGGATACAGCAGATAGATAGAACGATAGATAGACAGATAGATAGATGGACAGAATGATATAACAATAGAGAATGACAAATACAGTAGATAGATGGATGGATAGATAGATAGAGAGAGCGAGAGCGACAGAGAGAGAGCGATAGATAGAATGATGGATAGAATGATGGATAGAGTAAAACGATAGCTACAGCAATAGATACAATGACAGATAGAACGATAGGTAGATAGAACGATAGATAGATAGACAGATAGACAGATAGATAGAAAGATAGAACAATAGATAGATAGATAGATAGATAGATAGATAGATAGATAGATAGATAGATAGATAGATAGATAGATAGATAGATAGATAGAAAGATAGAACGATAGATAGAAAGATAGAACAATAGATAGATAGATAGATAGATAGACAGATAGATAGAAAGATAGAACAATAGATAGATAGATAGATAGATAGATAGACAGATAGATAGAAAGATAGAACGATAGATAGACAGATAGAACGATAGATAGATAGATAGATAGATAGAACGATAGAACGATAGATAGACAGATAGAACGATAGATAGATAGATAGATAGAACGATAGATAGATAGATAGATAGAACGATAGATAGATAGATAGATAGATAGATAGAACGATAGAACGATAGATAGATAGAACGATAGATAGATAGAGAACGATAGAACGATAGATAGATAGATAGATAGATAGATAGATAGATAGATAGATAGATAGATAGATAGATAGATAGATAGATAGAACGATAGATAGATAGATAGACAGATAGATAGATAGATAGATACAGATAGATAGATAGATAGATAGATAGATAGATAGATAGATAGATAGATAGATAGATAGATAGACAGATAGACAGATAGATAGACAGACAGATAGATAGATAAATAGAATGATAGAACAATAGAGATAGAATGACAGATAGAGTAGATAGAACGATAGAGTAGACAGATAGATAGACAGATAGATAGACAGATAAATAGAAAGATAGAACAATAGATAGAAAGATAAAATGATAGAACGATAGATAGATAGATAGATAGATAGATAGATAGATAGATAGATAGATAGAACAGATAGATAGACAGATAGATAGACATAGATAGATAGACAGACAGACAGATAGATAGATAGATAGATAGACAGATAGATAGATAGATAGATAGATAGATAGATAGATAGATAGACAGACAGACAGACAGACAGACAGACAGACAGACAGACAGACAGACAGACAGACAGACAGACAGACAGACAGACAGACAGACAGACAGACAGACAGATAGATAGATAGGTACAGTCGAACGATAGATAGAATGTTACATAGGATGATAGATAGATCGATACAGTAGACAGAACGATAGATAGAACGAAAGAAACCCCTAACTAACACATACACACATCAAGTGAGAATTCTTAAACCTGATAGCAGCACAGATACAAGATCGGATATATACTTTTTATGCCACACTGGAATATCCAGGACAAGTAAGAGTCAGGTTTGTGGAGATGCAAGCCCATTCACACAAGATGCATGTTTTTCCATGGAAATTGGGTGGAAAAACATCTGTAGCTTTGAACAACTGTGAGGGCCTTATCATATATTACTATGAAAATACATCACATGTTGTTTGTGTGTACAAGAATAATTCTGCACAACGTTTATAATATTGACGAATTAACGATTACCCGATTTTCAAAGCACAGATGGAGGAAATGGGTTGTTTCTAGCTAACTCAGTCTAGTTCTACATTCTCATTCACTTAAAGTATGTGCAGATGTAGTCGTGTGTTTGACCTGAGTGACTGACCTGAGTATATTCCAGCCCAGGACACTTGGCTGTGGAGACTCCTCTGCACACCGCCCTGCTGCTCAGTGTGGGCGGAGTCGGCTGCGTCGCTCTCAACCAATGGCACAGCAGCTTTCAACTCAACACCAGAAACATAACTGCTGTTCTGGAGGGTAAGTGGACTCGCCAAAATGTCCGTCTCTATTCACACTTACGGCACAAACCAGGAAGACGTTTGGAAACATGCAGTGACAACTTCCGGCAGGCTCTGTTTGCAGTAGTAAGTCTGCCAAAATCTAGACAAAAATCAGAAAATGGCCCAGTTTTCTTCATCTACATTTGATTCTAGTGTTCCGTTGTGTTCGGTTAATCAACAATAACAACCACACAACCTCATCAAGATGATTCCAAACAGCACATACATATGCAGTCTTCATTTTACCACTGATCACATTTTCTTTACTGGATTTTATCACAGTCGGTCGGTGAGCCCAGTGTCGGGAACTACACTGGAAGTTGTCAATGCATGTTTCCAAACGTCTTCCTGGTTTGTGACGCAAGTGTGAATAGAGTCTGTTGCACATTACCAGTGGTATGGGTCAATGTTATTTATTGCTCCATAGACACAGATGGCTGACAGCAAAAGTAAATATTGTTAAAATGCATGTATGTTACGTACCATATTTTTTGGACTATAAGGCGCTCTTAAAATCCTTTCATTTACTCAAAAATCAACAGTGCACCTTATAATCTGGTGCGATATATGTATTATTTATGGTTGTGCTTACTGACCTCGAACCGATTTTATGTGGTACACGGCGCTCAATAATCTGTTAAAATCTTTTAGTACGACTTTGGTAAACTACAAAGCCGCACCTCTTGGTGGATTGTCGGAGCATTGTAGTCAGGAGCCTCGCGGAGTGAAGGGCAGTGAAGTATAGTTCTGCGTCGACTCAGCGCACATTGCCGCCGTCGCCTTGTCACAGAAAGAACACACTATATTCCACTGAGTCGTGTCCTTTAGTCCGACAGAAGCTGAACCGCATCAGCGCACAAGGAGCGAGCTGTTTTTTCATGTGGTTTTAAGTTTCATTTCTGTAAAACATAAACAAATGTGCTGCATTAAACGCATTATTACTCAATGTATATTTGATTTCTCCTTGTAGAAAATAAAAAGCAAACTTAAATGATCCACCCACATTCACATTCATAATACACATTCACCAAGACACGGAGGCAACGCCGGGCGAATTACGCCACGATCTGCCAATGGATCGTAGACGTCTGAGCTAAGGGATCAGTCTCAAGTGTCGTCCATTTGTTTTGCTTTATACTTCTTATAATCCGGTGCACCTTATGTATGAAAATAGATGAGAGAATTCAACATTATTGATATTGCGCCTTATAATTCTGTGCACCTTATAGTCCGAAAAATACGGTAATTAACTTTTAAGTATTTTTAGATATTTCATGGCAAACTACAACGTAATCAATAGGGAAATCCAGCTCTCTGAAAAACACCAGTAGCATTTCAGTAATCACCACTGTTAGATATCAAATGCATCCAGTCATAAGCTTTTTTTTTAATCTAATGACCTCCTTAATGAGATATGTTTCCTGGCTAGATGAATAAAATAAAATAAACATTGGGGTATGAAATTAAGGGACAAAATGAAGGACAGCATCGGACCTAAAACCGAGGCTAACGGGTAGATATTTTCTTGTGGCTTCCTCAAAGGGTAAACTTATTGAAACATAACCACATTTGTGTTCTGTAGGTCTTCTTAAGGATAAGCAGACCTCGGGACAAGCCATCCACTCTCTGAGAAAAGCACAAAGCCTGGGCTCCCCCACAGAAAAGATGATTACATCACATGGTACGTCCTATATCAAATTGGATTCCCTTACATGATCCTACTGTATCCACGCCCAACCTTTGCAATATAATGTATGGACTGGGAATTCATTAAAATGTCCCTGTTACTTTGTGGAATATCCCTGCTTCCTCTGCGCGTCTGTACAGCTGAGAACAGAGACGAGATCCTGAATCCTTCCAATAATGAATTCAGCTTGGTTAGATACAGACGCCTCTTGTTTAGGCGTTGAGAAGAGAGCCAGAGTTAATACAACAATCACATTTTATTACTTCTTTTTGCAGGTCACGAGCTGAACCCGACGCCTGCCGATTACACCTGCGTTCTGTACGGACTCCCAAACTTTATTGTGCCGTGAGCTTTCATTTCAAGGTATTTTCTCTCCACATGCTGCTGAAGTTGACGGCGTTAGTGACATTTTAATGGATCCTCTGTGTAGTCTGTTTGCGATACTTGTTTTGCGATAGTTTTGTAAATGTGTACGGAAGTTGACCGTTGCATATTGTTCTACATTCTAAATTGCAAGAGTGAATTTACTTAGAATAAAATATAAAATATCTTATCGCACTGTTTCTCAAACTCTGAGACATTTTCCTAATGAAAATGTGACACTTGCAGCTCTTAAAGGGTCCATGCTACACAATTTTCCAGACCTGGAGTTGTGTTTTGGTTCATTTGCACATGTTTAACACACAAACCCTGCATATTTAGACTGTGTTCTTCTCTGAAAGCGAAAAAACTCTATTCCATCTTGTGATGTCATGTGGTAATACAGTGTTTCTCACAGAAAACTGGTTAGTCAAGGTGGTGACGGTGGGATGGGGGGAAGGATAACATGCTGGCAAAAGGAAGGACCAGGGAGCAATGACTGTAATTTTGCGAGGCTTCATGTGGTTTGGAGGGACGTAGTCAAGATGGGGGGGCAACTGTTGTCAAGGCAACCACCCCAACTATAAAGCGCTGCGGGAAACACTGTAATACAGGAAGAGACCCACTCTATTTTGAACTCCATCCACCCTCATCAGTCTTGGAATTGCAAATCTCCACTGAACTAGACGTACTTAAACGTAGCTGTTAACTTGAAAACCCCCATTTCATGACATCACACGGTGGAACGGAGCATTCAGAGCTTTGAAAAACCAGCATTTTTATTTTGAGCAGGGTCATCTCACCACAGATCTAACATGTAATTTGGCTTGGATTGCGTCACTTGCTTAGCCTCATTGATCAGATGGTTTCAGTTCATGGAAACCGTCTGACCTCGCAGCATTGGGATTCGTTTGCTCGACGGTAGGTAGGCGGGTTCTTTTTTGTTTAACCAATCACTGCCTTTTGGTCGTGACTTATGTAATGCACCAAACCCTGTAGGAGGAAGGGCAATAACGTCTTTCTCCTTGATTAAATTCACCAAACATTCTCTTTGTTCCGGCTTTAAATCCTCAATCTCGGGAATCGTTGCCAACACAGAATGTCTGTCTTCGTCTACATCCATCTCGACCGCTTTGTTTACTGTTGTGCTGTTCCACAAAAGGGACCCAGACAGGCGCGATGAGTTTGACGTCATGCCTTCTCATCTCTTCTCTGACTGGCCGGTGTGTGATCTACAACCACTGGGCTTCATGCAAATCATCTAGTGTATTCCGATTCCTGACCTAGTCGTTGGAGAGAAATGAAATTGAGCGGAGGCACTAGGTGACGTCAGCCTGGCTGCCTCACCACAGACCTGATCTGTGGAATTTGGCTTGGATTGCCTCACTTGTTTGCCCCATACATAGATTAATTTAAAGCCATTTCATGAACCATTCTAGGCAAATAAACCAGACACCAGAAAGTTACCTAATGCCTCTTTAATTTTGTTTTCGTATCATTTTTTTCTTGCACTGAGCCAAGATTTTTAGGATGTGTTCGGATGAGAAGAGACGAAAACCTAGTCCTATATGGTCGTTCATTTGCACAAACGTCAGGGAGATTGACAGAGGAAGTCGATTTTCCAAAAATGCTCCTGTCTACTTGTACGGCCCAGTGTGTGTCGAAGCACATATGCAGGAAACGTGCCTGTCTCAGCACAAGAAATCCACAGTGGAAATGACTGGAACCTGTCCAGGACTAAACCAGGAAAAGACCAGGTTTAAGACAAGATTAAAGCAATAATCAAGACTAATCCGGGACACATTTGAATAGTGAGACCTTCTAATCTTCTGCTTCTCATGTTTGTTTACTTGCTTATTTAACACACACACAACATGCGCATTAATGCCAGTTTTCATTCATTTATGTATTGTATATTTGATAAAAATGGTAAATGTTATATTTATTTCGCTCTTTTCTTCCTTCAAGGCGCTTTATATCAAGGAGCCGCTCACACATTCACACATCAATGCACACAGACACTGGTTTTGTCTTGCCCAACAACACAACAGCATTAATCATCTGTGGGAGCAGAAATCGCACCACAGATGTGTTTTGTCTACCAACTGATACCTGATACCTAATTACCTTCTGTCACCCAAAGATGTTTCAGTGATGATTACATGTTTATCAGTCCAAAAAAAACATAGATTCATCTCTGGCTTTGACTCATTTCAACGGCTCTTACTGGATTTTTGTTAAATTAGTTTAGCAACAATAAAAAAGTTTAGTTTATTTATTTACTGAGACAGAGACCGTGCACAATTAACATTAACCTTAACAGGAGAGATGCATTGTACCAGGTTGTAGTCCCAGTGCTAATTTCCACCTGTCGTCCCTGGAATGATAAATGCAGCTAATATGTTAAGACGACCAAGTATAGACTGGCAAAAAACACACACAGACACTTGCACATGAGGTCGTCTTTGGCCCACAGAAAGAAAGAGGCAGTGTCAGCAGTCACCTTCAGTCTCTCTCTCTAAAACCTTCAAATCAGGCAAGAAATCTAGGGGTAATAATGGACTAAGACTTGAATTTTAACAGCCACATCAAATCAATAACATCTGCAGCCTTTTACCATCTAAAAATATAGCAAAAAGCAAAGGTTTACTGTCTAAAGTAGACTTGGACAGACTTATCCATGTGTTTGTCTCCAGTAGGTTAGATACTGTAATGACCTCTCACTGGCCTCTCCAAAAGAGTTGTGAGATGCTGCAGAACATCCAGAACGCTGCAGCTCGGGTCCTGACTTGAACTAGGAAGTACGAGCACATGCGTCCTGTGCTCAGGTCTCTGCACTGCCTCCTGTGGCTCAGAGACTTTAAAACGGCTCTGCTTGTACAAATCTCTCCATGGCCGAGCACCAAAGTACATCTCTGACATGTTAGTGCCAAATGAATCATCTTACACTCTGAGGAGCTCAGGGACCAGCCTCCTGCTGGTGCCCAGAGTCAGGACTAAACACGGGCAGTCAGAGTTTCAGATTCATGCAACTAAAACCTGGAACAGTCTTCTTGAACATGTGAGACAGACTCTACTTTGACACTGATTAGAACCAGACTCAGGTTCTGTTTAGCTGTGTTTGACTGAAAGGTTTTCATTCTGAACTCTTCTCTCTAATTTATGTAATTAATGTTGCTCTCTCTTTTTTTTTTTTTTTTATCTTTAATTTTATGATAATTATTTATGTTTGATTTGTGTTTATTGTGATTTTAATGTTTTTCTTATTCTGTAAAGCACTTTGAATTACTTTGTGTACGAATTGTACTATAAATAAATGTACAAATAAACTTGCCTTGCCTTGCACATATGTTGAGTTTACGTGTCTAATAGAGTCATTACATTGATTTTCTATTCCTGGAAACTCATCTAAGCTTAGTGTACAGCACGGGTCTCCAACGTGTAGCTCTCCACCCCCTTTCAAGTAGCTCGCCAAGGGTTTTCTGAATTACAATTAAATGCCTATCACCACTGTACATGTATCATTTTGATGCTTAAGTTTGTACACTACTAAATGGATAATGATTTATATTTTATAGCCATCAATCTTAGGGTGACCAGACATGCGTATTTACCCGGGACAGTCCCAGTTTTGAGCCCAGTGTCCCCTGTCCCACCAGATTTATCCAAAACCAGTGATTGTCCCACTTTTATACAATATAAAAGAATGAGAACTTCGCACATCAGTTACTTAAGACGGGTCTGTTGGAGGTGAGGGAGCAGCCCTAGAACATAGAGAAAAATCCCACACACCGTCTTACTTGCAAATTGTGAGATTTATTAGGACAAACTGTGCAATGTTTCGGCAGTAGGCCTTCGTCACGCAAAAGTTGCACGGTTTGTCCTAATAAATCTTACAATTTGCAAGTAAGACGGTGTGTGCGGGATATTTTTCTATATCCCAGTTTTACACAAGAAATGTCCCATGTGTCTCTATTTTTGACCTGCCAACAGTAAAGAGAGGCATACATAGTCATTTGTTTAGGTAAATTACAGAAAATTTGCTTCAAAAATGCTCAAAACACAAAGAAAATGTGACTATACTGACTCACATTAGTGCCAAGTGCAAAAAATGTTCCTTAATTACGCGCTTGTTTCACAATTTTATTATTTCGACCAACCCAAACCAGGGATGTCCCAGTTTTTTATTTTGAAAATCTGGTCACCCTAATCTATCTGTACCTCATCTAAGGCTAAACTAGTAGCTCTCTGGCATTTTATTTTTGTAAAGATCGCTCACACACAAACAAAAATTACATTGTGGCTTTAAATAAATGTGTAACATAAATCCAAAGTGAATCAGACATTCTAAATACCTTTTCTGTTTCTTAGGGGTCTGTTTCTGCTGTTGATTTATTGAGTCTATTTCCTGTTTTAATGACACAGCAATTTACACTCTTTGTCTTTCTCCTGATGATTTGTACCTCTGGGAATGTGTTTCTCCTCCTCTGACCCCAATCCTAATTTTCCGGCCTCGTCAATCCTCAATCAACATGAAGCCTTGTGTGACTTAACTCCAGAGGCTCAACCATCCTTTTTCATTACAATAAATTAAACATGTTTACCTATTTGGATTTAAGCAATGTTCATCCGGCACTTCAAGGAGCTACTAATCCAGTTTGTTTGGTAAATTGGTAAATACAGGCCTTAAGAAACCCTGTGACCTGCTGTTCTCACTGACACTGCCTCTTTCTGCAGAAAATAGATTCAGATTCTTGACAAAAGCTACATGTTCTGAAGCAAACCACAGATTTTCATGTTTTTCTAATGCTAACTTGGTTTGGTGGGATAGAACGCTGTCCTAAGTATTCATCATATTTTTACAACAGTTAATTGGCAGTTTCCCTCACCTATGGTCATGAGCTTTGAGTAATGACTGAAAGGACGAGATCGCGGATACAAGTGGTCGAAATGAGTTTCCTCCGCAGGAGAGAGAGATAAAATGAGGAGCGCAGTCACGCAGGAGGAGCTCGGAGTAGAGCCGCTGCTCCTCTACATCGAGAGGAGCAGCTGAGGTGGCTCGGGCATCTGTTCCGGATGCCTCCTGGACGTCTCTCTGGGCAGGTGTTTCAGGCATGTCCTCACCAGGAGGAGGCCTCAGGGAAGACCCAGGAAATGCTTGAGGGACTATGTGTCTCGACTGGCCTGGGAACACTTGGGGTTAGTATATATCATATTTTTGTTAACCTCCACAAAATATTTCAATAAATATCGTACTATGAGATGTATATCATGAAAATATCGTACAGAGAGATTTGGATTTCGTTACATCCCTAATGGATAGACTTTATTTTTAGTCAAAGAGGAGGAGGTGGAAAGGCTGGTGGTTCTGCTGCTGCGGGAGTGGTCCTAGATTACTCAAGATTGACTCTTGTGAGCGTTTGAGCCATGTTAGAATGAATACTTGATACTATTATCATTCTGTCTGCATCTCTAAAGCTCAAAATACACCTTGTGATATCATGAGAGAGAAGAACTCAGCCTAAATATGCAGGATTTGATTGTTAAACATGTGTGAACGAAACAAAACACAACTCTAGGAATGTTTGTGATGAGGAAACTTCACTATAGCAAAGAATATAGGGTGATATGGACCCTTTAAAAACATTGTGAGAGGAAAAGAAAGCAGCAATATTTGTGAAAGTGCAGACAGAGTGAGGATAATCCCTGTTCGTTTTCCACTCGATGTTTGTAATCAATACGTCATTTAAAATTCAAAGTTATTTCACCAATGGAAATCTTTACTTGAGCTAAAGACGCACTGACAGTGGAATATTGGCTTGGTCTTTATTGATCTGTGCAGCCCAAAGGTTCCTCTTACAAATGCTGCATCAATGTTTACTAGGCCTGCTGATACTTTACAGCTGTTGTCATTAATATTGTCTGAGGTTGTGATGCTACCTGGAAGCACTGCTCTGTCTGAAGCTCTGGTACTCAAGTTAGACTTTAATCCAAGCAAACTGACCAGAAAGAGCTGATTTGTGTGCTTAACTAAGTTACTCACACATAAAATTACAGTCACAAGCTCGCAGGCATTACCGAATACTTTTTCATTTGGACACTCTTGCATTATTCATTGTAAATCAAACTCTTAAACTGAACCGTGAACGCTCGTATTGATCACAAGCTCCTGAAAATGTGCAGTTCAAATCCATTTTGTGTTTTTTCTTCAGTTTTCAGACTTAAAACTTATTGTTTTAGTCGAGACCGAGACAAAACCAAGAATTTTAAAGGTTGAGACCGAGACAAGACCGAGACCACGGCCCATCTAGACCAAATCGAGACCATCTTAGTCATTTTTTACATTTATTTGTATTTTACAGTTATTTTAGCACATATATATAAATGTTTTTATGAATCTATCTCCATTCTATATGATTAATGTTCATTTAAGCTTAAAATAATCCAAGCAAACTATACTGCACTGAAAAACACTATGCCCCTTTTTTGGACCCTCACTCACAGTTTGAGAAACGCTCCTTTAATCCCACTTACACTGTCACTTTACAGAAAACAACTTCAAACTTAAGCAAGTGGGTTTTTTTAAGTTCATAACATTTACAGTTACATTATCTTACTGGTTTTGCAGTGATATTTAGCAGCCTCGGCACATTCACCGGCTGTAATGAAATATGATCAAACTCGTCGTGTGTCAAGGCAAGACCGAGACCAAGCACCATCAAGACCGAGACCAAATGCGCTCGAGTCCAAGATGAGACCAAGACCGTAAAAAAGCAGCACGACCAGTCTGGAGTACTACGACACTATTAAAACTTAAAGCTTTTTGACAGTGTGTTTGCCAGTGTGTGCGTTGTGTCACCATGGTAACTGCTGAATATTCCACCATTAAAAATATGTGTAGAACACCCCCAGCTTGATGTCACTGCAAAGTATCTCTAGTTTTTGTTTGTTTAGTTTTCTGGTATGTATAACTAGAATGTGAGTAATATACAGAATATAGCGGCAAATAACTTTAGTGCATGTGGCAGGTTTTCATTTGATTCTAATTATTTGGTTTTATCATGCCTGTGGTCAGTGTTTATCATATTTTCAATCAGTCTGTGTAAGGGGCAGTTTGTGGGGAAAAGGTGAGTTCTAAAGTTGAATGCTTCTACCTGGAGCTGGGCAATTAACGGGCCCATATTACATCATCACAAACATTCTTGGAATTATGTTTTGTTTCATTCACACATGCTTAACACACAAACCCTGCATATTTAGGATGAGTTCTTCTCTGAAACTAAAAACAATCTATCAGTCATCCAGGTAGAATCCATGGCAAAGAAGAAATTCAATTTTGTCAACTGGACAAAGTTTTTTTAGTCAAATTTAAATTTAATTTCTCCTTTGCCTCAGTTCCACCTTGTGATGCCACGTGGTAATACTTGAAGTGCTCCTTGTCTTTTTAAACTCCATACACCTTCATTAGAATCATTTGGGTGATTTTCAACTCTGGAATTGCCAAACTCTCCAGAACTGATGGTACAAGAAGCCGTAAACTTCAAAACTCTCACTTTATAACATCGCAAGGTGGAACAGAGCATTTTGAACTAGAGATGTAGACAGAGTAATATCAACGATTCCTCAAACACGTGTGAATGAAACAAAACACAACTCCAGTAAGTTTTTGACGAGGTAACCGCTTTAACATGACTTAAAGCTCACAAGAGTCAATTCGGCGTAATGTAGGGCTTTTAGTCTGAGTCATTTAAAGGTGACCGTGCTGACTCTGAGCATAAGATTTACAGTAGTTACATGATATTTTTTTGCGATTTAAAATGCTAAAAATGTGTAAACTTGTTTGTGTTTTGATCCAGGTCGAACGTAGCTGTGGGGGCGTTTGGCAGATGGAGCCATGCCTCAGACCATGGACAGACTGGGAGTGCATATGTTCAGAAGGAGCTCCGGAGTCAACTGAGTTACGTGATGTTTAACCTGGAGAGATGTGAGCTACAGGCATTTGGGGAAGTAGAGAGCTTTACTGAACATGATCAAATCCTATAAGAGGCAGCATTTATTGAAATTAATATTGATGGAGCAATTTACAATAAAAATCTACCAAAAATCTTTTACTGAAATTGCAGAAATAATGATGGTAAAAGAGTGCATATATTAAAACGTGTAAATTAGTTTCAGATGATAAAATATATAAATTAAAGGTGCAATATGTAACTTTCTGGAAGTGGAACATCAACTGCATGATTCTTCTCTATGGAGATCAATCGGTTTCATGCCATATTGTGGAATATTATAGCAGGAAAAGGCCTTCCTCCAGGACAAGTAAGAGTCAGGTTTGTGGAGATGCAAGCCTGCTCTCAGTAAGGACACATGTTTTTGAGCTTTGGGGATTTAAACAGACTAATAATGCAGGATTACTCAAACAAAACACAGCTCCAGGTCTGTTTTGATGAGGTAACAGTTTTATAACAGAACTTGTGTAATACTGGACCTTTAACTAATATGTGAAGTGCAAGTCCCTTGATCATCTTCCAGTTCACAAGTGGGAATTCTCAGTTCGAGTTGGTTACTAGGTGCCTGAATGCATCATTAGATTACTCTGATTTACTGAGCAGCAGAAAAGTATGACAAAAAAGTTGTGCTAAACCTTGTGTGATGTGTGTAAAGGACAGAGCTGTGTTCCACTTTTACTTCTATTTACCCTAATAATCTTTGGACTATAAGCCGCTACTTTTTTCTCACACTTTGAACCCTGCGGCTAATAAAACGATGCAGCGAATATATGGACGGATTCTTTGTTTGACACATTGTCCATTCATATATAAAGTCTATGGGTTGACAACAAGGTGGATATGCGCAGCCAGAGGACAGAAAACACCGCTGTCTGTGCGGTTACACCCGAAGCTGCAACGTTAGTGCTATTGTCAGCACTAAAACAGTTTATTGCCGTGTGATAAAATAAGTTATGATACTAAATAAGCATTAGTGAGTGGGACACGTCTTAATGACCCATATGTGTTAAGTGCAGGTGAGTGTGTAATTGACGAGATGAAACGTCTCAAACTTCAGTATCCGAACATCCACTGATACCTTATCGATAGAACTAGCCCCGCCCCAGAGTCTGAAATTTGCTGAAATCCTACAAGACAGTGACATGATACAGACAGGACAGAGACTTTGTTCTGAAGATGGCTTGCAGCTAGCAGCCGAAACATGTCAACAAGGTAAATACACTTTACTGCATTGTCTTTAAAAAGAACCCAAGAAGTTAAAGGACAGAGACTCTTTCTGCAGGAGACATGCATGGTAGAACGTGGGGAGAGACAGGGAGATGCGCCAAGGAAGATGCTCGTTTGATTGTGTTTTGAACAGTTATTTTGCGCTTCATGCACACACTCTCTTCATGGAAAACACATGAAGAAATGCAGATGATGCAGTGTTTAAGTTAAAGGTAAAGACTGTCAAAGAAGGAAATCAAGCTGCTGCACGTGAGCTCGACATCAGTGGGTCGATGGTGAGATTTTGGTGACGGCAGCTTGACGAACTGACTCAATACAAAAAGACGACAGAGGTTTTCAGAGGCGATAAAAGCAGACAGCTTGAACTTGAAAATGTTCTTGAAGACGTGAACACCTGCAGCTTAGAGACAAGTGCGGCATATATATGTACAAATTGTCTTTTCTTTTAAAACATTTTTGATGCAGCTTATATTCAAGTGCGCTCAATAGTCCAGAAATTACGGTACCTTGTGTCAACGGAAAGTAAAAAAGTAGAAAAAATCCATTTGTACTGTTTTAAAGCAGTTTGAAAATGAACTGTGTGTGTACTTGTGTGTGTATATGTGTGTGTATATGTGTGTGTGTGTGTCTGGTTATGGTGATGACGCACACACAGCTGACAGGTGTGACAGGTGACCCCCCCAGGCTCAAGGTCTGGTCCCTGTCAGAGCCTTGGGGAGGGAGCGTTGTTTTACATATGAGAGACGTTACTTAAACCATTTCCTAGAGACAAACACTGTACAGATACTTTCTATTTATCAAAAGGAACACTTCAAATTCAACATGATCACATCGTATGGAGACATTATAAAAGGAACGTACACTCTGTTAATGCATCATTCTGTGGAAGGACACGCACTATTTTCATGTCGCACATTATTTACTTTCATAAATCCATAAATACATTAAAGTGTGATTGCGTCATTCCTGTTTGTTGTGAGGCCATAAGTGCAGTGCATAACACGTCTTAAAATAAATCAATCAATAAACCTCTTCATCCAACCATACTTTATAGAACTAAACATCATTCTTAGTTCTTAAAGGTTATACTGTGTTATAATGTTGTTTCTTCATCACACATATAGAACCGCTTGGACAAAGAAAACAGAAGCGACAATGTGAGGTGCCACTCTGACTCATCTTTTACAGAGCCATGTGCTTTTTGTTTTCACTTTTGATACACCGTTATGGAAAAATTTAAAATCTTCTTGATGACAAATATTTATCCATTTGCTCGGTGACTTTTTGGAAAACAGAAAAAAATTGATTCTTGTTCCGGCACATATGGACTGATTCATCACACGGTTTCACTTCATAGAAACCATCTGACCTCGCAGTGTTAGAATTCGTTCGCTCGACAGTAGGCGAGTACTTTTTATCATTTAATCAATCGCTGCTATTTGGCTGTGACGTATGTAATGCGCCGCTAACGGGGTTAACTGGTATATTAAGCTTTTCCCAAATCAAGTAGCAAGAAGGACAATAACGTCTTTCCCCTTGATAAAATTCACCAAACATTCTCTTTGTTCTGGCTTTAAATCCTCGATCTCAGGAATCATTGATAATACTGAATATATGTCTCTTTGCTGATTTTCTGGTGCTCGAACTTGCACTTTCGGGGTTTTTGCGAACCATCTAGTGTATTTTGATTCCTGACCTAGTCGCTGACTACCCTGCCAGCAGACTTTTGTAATAATAACACATTTTACTTACAAAGTGCTTTTCGAAACACTCAAAGATGCTGTACAATAAAAAAAAATACAATAAAAAGAGAATATTCAAGGTAACTGACAAAATACAGGCATTAAAGCAGGCTAGACATTAAAAGTGTTTCTGTACAATGTTAGAATAGAAGTTTGTCTTACCTTAATTGGCAGACAGACACCATTGTTCCAGTAATGACGTCCATAATTTTGCTTCTTTTGTATGCGAAAACACAATGACAAATTAAGCTAAAAGGCAGTGAAAGCGAAGATTTGACAGGAGACGGTAAAAGTGTAGGCGAAAGTGCGCCCACGCAGTTGAGTTAAACCCTCAAAATGAGTCTGAGATGTGGCTGATTTTCAGGAACAGAAAGTTAGAAAAGAAAACTTTAGTTAGTGTTAAGTAAGGGTCAGGGGCACATGGTTCTAACCTGCAGAATGTTTCATGACTTTTTATTGAACATGTGAAAAATACAATTCAACTTTTGCAACAATAAATACATTTTAATTAATAAACCAGTGTGTAAATACAGCACAGTCCAAATCTGTGCTCTGATTGTAGATTCATGGCTTCATCAGATTCTCGTTATATGTGACATTTTGTGACTTTTGTGAAGATATAATATTTAGGGTTACATTGTTAATCACTCTGACAACAGTACTAATGTTTAATTGAAGCTGCACGTCATGTGGTAATTCAGGAAGTGCTCCACTGTGTTATTAAACTTCATACATCTTCACTAGAATCGTTTGGATAATTTCAGCCATGGAATTGCCAATATCTACTGATCTAAAGGTAAAAGGAGCTGATAACTTGAAATCTACAGCTTCATGACAAGGTGGAACGGAGCATTTTGAGCTAGACAGACTAATAAAGGATTCTTCAAACATGTGAATGAAACAAAACAGAACTCCAGGTCTGTTTAAATGAGGTAACAGCATTCTAACATAGCTAAAAGCTCACAGGAGTCAATTTTGTGTAATATATCCCTGGGTAGCACCAGTCTATTTCATGTTTTTCTCTTAATTCCTGTAAAATTAATCTTGGAAATATTGATGCCTGTTGTAATTGCTACTATATTAGTGTTTTAGTGACAAATCTGCAAGAAAACTCCAATGAAATATTCCACTTTTATTACAGTGTGATATGAAAATATATGGCAGAATGTTGGCTGAGGGGCTAGAGTACTCACACCTCACAGCAAGAAGGTTCCAGGTCCGACTCCAAGGCTTTTCTGTGTGGAGTTTGCATGTTCTCCCTGTGTCTGGGTGGGTATCATCTGGGCGCTCTCAAGGTCAAATCCTTCAGCTAAAGTAGTCCTGACCAGAACTAGCTCTAGATCTGGAGATGGATCCACTGCTTCTGAAAAGTTGCCCCAGCATCTTTGAAGAATGGGTTAAATGCAGAATTTCTTTTTTCCTACAGAGACAACGAAGTGTATGTTTATAGGTCTTGGAAGAAATTATTTTAGTGAAAGATTCTGATAAATTGTATTAATTCACTCCTCAGTCACAGTGGTGTCTAGCTTAGAGTGACCAGGTTTTCAAAATTACAAACTGGGGCACATCTGGGTTGGGAATGTAGATATAAATAAAACTGTGAAAAAGGCGTGCAGCATTGTCCATTCTCAACTCATGTGTGGGTTAGTGTGTAATCTGAAGCTACGTTTATATTATGTTTATTTATTTATTTCGGACAGTAATACATAGAACATAAATTCAAAAACAAAAACTAAAAAAAAGACAAAAACGTAAATACATAGATATAACACAAAAAGTAACTATTTCTATTCTATAATAACAGGCAAAATAAATGTTACGCAGAATTTTCCTTGTGTCCGAAAAAGGAGTGGGAGGAAGTAAATACTTATTTAACCCCACCCCTTTTTTCTACAGTCCCAAATTAACGAAGAACAAATACAGACTTCTCATTTCCTGTACATTATAAGCAATAATTGCACAGTACCTCCATTGCATTACAATCTAACAGACAACAACAAATATATGTATATTATGTACACAGATATAGTACACATCATATACACAGATATAATATATACATACC